AAACAAACAAACAAACAAACTTGACTTCAAAGTAAATGCATCTGTTCAAGCCACAACTCACGTAGTGATATGACAAACCAACCATGAAGACCAAGGAGCTTTCCAAACATGTCAGGGATAAAGTGGTAGAGAAGCACAGATCAGGAGAAGGTTACAAGATAATTTCAAATTCGCTGATTATCCCTTTGAGTACGGTGAAATCCATCATTAAGAAGTGGAATGTACTTCACACCACCCAGTCATTACCCTGATAAGATCGCCCGTACAAACTAAGCAGGCGGCAAGCAGGAAACTGGTTAGAGATGTCACTGTGAATCCAACAGTGTCATTGAAAGACTTGCAAAGTTCCATGTCTGAGATGGGAATCAGTGTTCATACATCGACAATATACCGGTCCCTATACAAAACTGGCATGTATGAGCGAATGGCAAGAAAGAAGCCATTACTGGAAAAGAATCATCTTAAATTTTATATCGTGTTTGCGACAAAGCATGTAAATGATACTGCAGACATGCGGCAGAAGGTTTTGGAGTCAGACGAGACAAAAATTGAGCTTTTCTTTTGTCTAGTTCAAAGTGTTACATAGCAAGCCCAACACAGCACATCACTCAGTCAACACCATCCCAACTGTCAAGCATGGAGGTGGCAGCATTATATTATGGGGATGCTTCTTATCAGCAGAGACTGGGAAGTTTGTCAGGATTGAGGGAAATGTGGATGGTGCAAAGTACAGGTGAATCCTAGAGGAAAACCTGCTTGAGTCAGCCAAGAATCTAAAACTGGAGTGGTTTTAAAAGGAGAAAGTGAATGTCCTGTAGTGGCCCAGTCAACGTCCTGGCTTGAATCTAAAAAAGAAAATTAAGACAAGACTTGAAGATTGCAGTCCATAAACGTTCCCCAACAAACTTGTCAGAATTGGAGCAACTTTGCCAGGAAGAATGGGCAAAAATTACACCATCCCATCTTAAAAAACTGGTAGTGACCTGTCCAAGAAGACTCACAGCAGTAATTGCTGCCAAACGTGCTTCCACCAAGTACCGACTTAGGGGCTGAAAACTTATGCAATCAGCAAATTTCAATTTATATATTTTCTTTGCAAGTTTTGCTGACATTCAACCTTCTTCACACATAACAGTGTTAAGTTTGATTATTAGAGTATTGAATAAAAACAAGTTCATTAAAAAATGTTTACATTATTTGTATTTCGTCAAAAATGTGACATTATTGGTAGAGGGTGAATACTTTTGTAAAGCACTGTATAAACTTAATGTTAAAAATATTTGAATATTATCAAAATCCATATAATAACGATGGCTTTTTTTTGATACATCCTTTATGAGCTAGACTTTACATACTGGCAGATTCTTCACTATTACTCATTTTTGAAGAGTGTTATGGTTTAGATATGAACCAGGTAAGATTTTGACGTTGCCTGTTATAAGTAAATGTTGTTACCTAGTGAAGCGTATTTTGTTATGATCGTACCTATGAAGGATAGGCAAAGTTTAAAGTTAGCGGTAGTTTAACTAAGATGAAAGACACGAGAACTACATTTAAAATGTAAAATAGATGGTAAAAAGATATTTCAAGGAACATAAAGATTTATGCTAATCTAATCTAGCCACAAATTCGGACAATGCGAGGATGGTAAGAAACTATGAATTATAAAACAGGTATATAACTACTTAAAAACAGCTAACTGATGAAAGCTTTAATTTTTGTTGATAACTAAAAGACTTATAGATTGGTAGTTAAGTCTTTCGACTGTCCTGTTCTAATAAAAAAAAGTTATGGAAATATCCACTACAGTCGATTCTTCTAAAAATTGTAGCAAAAGCTCACTGTAGAGAGACTTTTAGAAATGGGTTCTTACCAGCACTTTTGTCATCTAAGAAGATAACCATTTCTAACGGTGTTCCAGGTTGAACATTATACGTTGTATCCAGAACTCTTCCATTTTGTTTTAGAAATAAACTGAGATACGGCACTGGAGCCCTCTGTTCTATGTACCGAGTGATGTTGACATAGCTGTAGGACATATGTTGACAATTAATCATTATTTTATATCGATTAACTTCAAACAGTGTTTTTAATCTTCGAATTTTATAAAAAGAAACAAATTACATTTATCTGCGATTTTCTTCAACAACTATACTTTCAATGTCAAGGAACAAGTTCTAGAATTCCAAAATTTGAAGTAACTCAGATGATTAAATTTTCTAATAGTTATGAAACAATGGTTTTGTATAGGTTTTTGAAATATTTCTAGGTTTTGTTTTATGATGATGAAAAATTTTCACATTACAATAACATGTTTTTGTAATGTGAAAATTTGTGAACACCCAGATGTTCCGATAATTTTTGAGTTGTTGGAACGTATCAATTGTACTTTTTACACAGTCTTGTCAATGGAATGACAACCCCTCTTCCCTTTATTCCACTAACACATTCTTCAATTTTCCACTGTCACAGGAAAAACTATTACATTGGTTTTTAAATTAACTTTGACTACCTTCAAATTATTATTTTATACGTGTTAAGACAGTAGCAAAATTAATTCGTTAAAAAGTTACAAATGCTTTTCCTCTCTGAAACTTTCTACAGTGATATACAAGAACACATGGCCAGTTTTTTTTCACATCAAAGAGCACTTAAATATTAGGAACCTGTGACCAACCTAAGCACTTCGACAACGTTAAATCGTCTCTGCTGGAAGGAGAGGTGTTGAGAATCAAATAACACGTTTCGATCATCTATTGGTAATCCAACAAGTTTATTTAAACAGTTGTTTCGCAAGCTGTTCTTGTGCTTAAAATAAAGTAAATGAATTATTAGATATATTTTCCAGCCTTGTGTTAGAATATTGCTATAGACAAGGAAATAATTGTTTCCTTATCCAACACAAATCGGTTACTTCTGATAAAGCAAAATATCAGGAGACAACTTCCTTACAAACAGATAAATTACCAAACAAGACTTTATGTGGAAGAAACGTGCCCATTTCCTTATACTTTTCGCCAAATTAAATCAACATAAAATGACTTGAAAGAGATAATAATAGAAATGTCTGTTAAGGTCATTTTAATTTTGGTAGTAGTTTGCGTATAACAAGTGGTTGCAAAATAATTTTCAATTTTACTTGTCTTTTATACTGATATATACACGTTAGCTAAAGATGCTTTTCCTAGTATACATGTTATACTAATTATAGAAGTTCTTGGGAAAATAGCATTGTACATTTAAGTGTTCTTGATGTTTTACTAGGATAATATAATAAGTGTTAAAGGGGAACACAGTCTTAAAATCTTACGTCACTAGAATTCAATATCAAACATACAACGTTGTTTACGTATTGAACAAAGTCACAAACAAACATCATATGTTACGTATTTTCACTATTGCAAATCGTATTGATGAATTATAAAAACTAGTTTTGATGTAGAGAAGAAATAACGAGTTTTAAAACGAATACTATAACCTTTGGAATTTTAAACAATGATTATAAACACGTATAGGGACATTTAAGAGGTAATAATCAAAGCAAAACCAAAGCTTGAATTAATTAATTAAACTGCACTGTTGTTCTTATCAAAGACTTATCTTTTACTTGACTACTAATTTTTTCCCAGATGTTCAAACAAACGCGTATAACATTTTTTTATGGTTTTAGTTTTACTATGACTCTGTGTATAAATTTGAGAAGTTATTGTACATGCACTGTACAGAAAATATTCTTTATTGTGAAGTTGTTATTTTACTTTTTATATTAAAACAATTGGATTATCAGAATGTAGTTTATGCTTTAAAAACAAGTATGTTTCGATAAATTAAAACATGGAACTTATCACTAAAAAAATCAAATATACGTATTTCTAACAATGTCTGACTAATATGTCTGTCCGTCTTTAGCGATTGCAGCCAGACACAAATAACATCTTAAGTCTTACTCAGGCTCTATGAAGTTAGGGGGCAGTATGTTTCTTCTTGTCCGGTTCTGAGCTAGAACTGTATGCTTCTCAGCAGGAAGAACACACTTGGCTAAAATCACCTCTTTTGGTTCTAATGGATGCTCCACAATAACTCTGTGGTAGAAAATCTTTTGTCCCTAAAACAAAAAGAAAAGTCAAAACCCTGAAATAGCTAAAATGTCAATTTTTAGTGTTATCTATCTCGAAAATAGTATTATTTATAGTGAGTGAAATGAAATTTGTATATTTTTCAGATTATGATTTGTTCATTCATATTAAAGGCTGTCTAAAAATGGTTGTAGATATTCATTTTAAAAAGTAATAGCTTTCAAAAAGAAAACTAAAATATGTGGCAAAGTTTCATTCAATCTCGCCTGTTTTGGCTTTAGACAAGATTCACTATTTTATTCACAGTTTCATAATGGTGATTGTTTAACAAAAAATACTTAGGATACATGGAAATAAAATGGTTGAGGATGTTTTCTACCCGCATCTCTAACGTCACCCCTCCTCTTTCCTGGTTTAATGTGACCAAGGGTAGTTAAAACTACGAGTGATTGAAAATAATTAACAGGAGAGAATTGAAGCTTATGGTTGCAGAGTATGAAATTCACAGGATTAGAAATGAACTTTGAGGCGCGCAGTGTGACATAATTGTGACACAATTTGTACTTGTGTGCAGATGAAACATTTTACTCACAATCATCTAAGTATTATACTCTAATACTTAATTAAACATTTTCATAGATTCAACTAACTTCACTTAAACATTACATAAGTAAAAACAAACACATAAAAATTTTAACATTTTAACAACTGAAACCCAAGTTTTAGTAGATTTAATTATAAAAATTGCAAAAAAATGTCCAATATAAACACTATAAACTGACATCATAAAAACTATATTTTTGCTACATAAGATGACTTCCAGCCTCATATTTCTCATCAGGAGTCATTAATCGATATGTATTGTTATTACTTAAAAGATGTCTACTGACTCCGGATTTCACGTAGGAGTCATTAGGCAACTGTGTATTGTTGGGTCTTAATGTGTCTTTTGACCGTGAACTTTCCTCAGGAGTCGTTAGGCGACTGTGTATTGATAGTACATAAGATATCTACTGACCTGATATTTCCCGCAGGAGTCATTAGATGACCGTATACTATTTGTACCTAAGATGTTTACTGACCATGTATTACTCCCTAGGAGTCATTAGGCAATTGTGTATTGTTAGTACATAAGATATCTACTGACCTGATATTTCCCGCAGGAGTCATTAGATGACCGTATACTATTTGTACCTAAGATGTTTACTGACCCTGTATTACTCCCTAGGAGTCATTAGGCAACTGTGTATTGTTAGTACATAAGATATCTACTGACCTGATATTTCCCGCAAGAGTCATTAGATGACCGTATACTATTTGTACCTAAGATGTTTACTGACCCTGTATTACTCCCTAGGAGTCATTAGGCAACCGTGTATTGTTAGTACATAAGATATCTACTGACCTGATATTTCTTCCAGGAGTCATTAGATGACCGTATACTATTTGTAGTTAAGATATCTACTGATCCTGTATTACTCCCTAGGAGTCATTAGGCAACTGTGTATTGTTAGAACATAAGATATCTACTGACCTGATATTTCCCCCAGGAGTCATTAGATGACCGTATACTATTTGTAGTTAAGATGTCTACTGATCCTGTATTACTCCCTAGGAGTCATTAGGCAACTGTGTATTGTTAGTATTAGTGATCGTGCTACTTTCTAGTAATTATTAAACGATAGTGAGTTATTAACTTGTTCTTGCATGACACTACCACTTGACGCTAGAATTTTTAATGTACTCCTAGTTATAGTAATCAAATATTCGTCTAAAAGGTTCCTTCGTATTGATCAATCATAATGAACAGATAAAGACAGTGTTTATTGCTCCTGATGTTTTGTTTTTTTCAGAAATCGTTAGTCGACTCTTCTGCCAATAATGCCCTTTTTATGTATCTTTATATCACGAATCATCAACCGACTTGGATGACTTATATACATTGGGTTTTTTGAGCACTTAATAAGATTAAAGTCAATAAATGTGTACTTTTGAAATAGTAGTGAATATTGTATATATAGTTTAAGGACAAAAGGGGACCACCTAGGCCATTCCATCTACTATATTAAACTTTAAAATAAAACACCCAATGCCAGCCCTTATCATTCAAATACTTATTAAGCCTTCACTAAAATTCCCTGAAATTAACTGCTTTTACCACATCTGAAGCAACACATTCCAGCCTAACCACCCTGTTAGAAAAATAAAACTATCTTAGCTGAAGATGACTCTTACCCTGTCAAAATTTATATGTGTGCCCCCCCCTAGTCTTACTATTCTCATCATTAGATACTTAAAAAATTGTACATCAATACTATCAGTTTTTTTAACAATCTTAAACACCTCAAGAGATCCCCTCTAACTCTTTCTTTTCAAGAGAAAATAAGTTTAGAAATCTTTACCTATCCTTGTATGATAACCTTTCCACCCAAGACATCATCTTAATAGCCATTCTCTTAACCCTTTCCAGTAATTTATTGTCCTTTCTAAGACAAGGAGCACAACACTGAACACAACACCCCAAATGTGGTATAACTGGTGATCTATACAATGACATTATAACTTTGTACATGTATTCAATATTTCTGTATATACAAGCTAAACAACACTAGCAACAACACATTGCTTGGATGGCTTAAGAGATTGATCAACTAGAATACCAAGGTTAAGGTTATTCATATCAAAATTATACTCATGAATATACCGCTATAACTAAATAACTCCAGAACAATCTTTAATTTGTTTTTGAAGATAACACAGTTTATTAAAAAAAAATATTTTGGTCTTCAAAACTTACTGTTAATTTGTTCAGCACCCTGACTGTGCCACAAGCGTAGAAATTATCTAAAGGAAGTCTGAACACAGCTCGACCGTTCTTGACTTCCGGTTGGCAGCCTGTCAAGAGATGTGAACAAGCTCTTTTATGTGAACTTTGAGGCTTCCCTCGATACTAAACCAATAGCAATAAATAATCTATATTCTGTAAACTAGCTAAATAGTCGACACCAAGAAAATTTCATGACACAAAAGGTTTAATGATTAAGAAACCATTTTCTAAAAACTACATTGGCTTAAAACAAACAGATTGAGAAATGTGAAAAAAAAAGACATTTGCAGTATAACATGATTTTATCACCAACATTTGATATATTGTCTTAAGCAATCGAAGTAAAAAAAGGAAAGAAACTACTTCATAGATTTCCTTAAATCAGGAGTTCTTAATCCTTTCCAGTCAGGAAACCACTTTGTGAGGGTGAACATTCAAAGCCCGTTTATTGTCACGTAATTAAAAATCAACGGATAACTACCGTTCTTAAAAAAAAGATGCTACTTCAAAAAAGTACAAATTTATGCATGCAGTTTCAGAGGATTCATGGTTCGCGTCCAGATGTCACAAAAAAACGTCAGTTCTGTACTCTACTCTACAGTCGTGGGTGCTCGATAAGAATGACGGTCAAATATCACTATTCAGTCAGACAACAGTAGACCAAGATCTGGCGGTGGGTGTTGTTAGCATGTTTCTTTCCATCTAGCCTATCAGCTCAAAATTAAAGACAGCTAGGCACAGAGAAGCCTTGCTCTAAAATCTGAAACGAACTAAAAAGAATGTTTTCTCTGTATCACAATTAAACAGGGTAAAGGGTGAGAAGATAAAACAATGGGTTTTTAATAATATTGTTATTAAAACAAATCAAGTAGGTTTATTCCACCTTTTCAATTCCTTCGCATCCCCCTTTGGTTGGTTGGTTAGTTTGTTTTGAGTTTCGCGAATTACTCGAAGGCTATTTGCCTTAGCCATCCATAATTTAGCAGTGATAGATTAGAGGAAAGTCAGCTAGTCATCACCACCCACCGCCAACGCTTGGGCTACTCTTCTATCAGCGAATAGTGGGATTGACCGTCACGTTATAAAGCCCCTACGATTGAAAGGGTGAGCATGTTTCGGTGACGAGGATACGAACCTGCAATCCGCAGATTGCGAGCCTGGCATCCTAACCACTAGACCATGCCAGGCCATCCCCATTCGAAGCATCCTGCAACAAGATCGCGGCCCACAGTTCGAAAACACCTGATTTAAATGATTTCACATACGAGAAGAAAAAAATACGTAATTAAAGTATAGATTTCTATTAAAAGCCATTATTAAAATACTGAAAACGTAAAACAGGTTTAAATGACATAAACAATATATTGTTTATGACATTTAAACCTAATGCACAACAAAACGTTTTCTGAACGAAAGCATTGTTGTTGTGTTTTTTGCAATTTAATGTCCTACACTATACATTATTTAGGACTAACAAGATAAAGTGTATTTTTTTAACTTTAATGAAAATATCTTAATTTACAGACAAAATATAAGGTTCAGGATAGAAACTACTTTTCTCATGTATATCATAAACTCACCTGGGTAACTCTTTAGCTTATCCAAGTACAGAACAGATTCGGGGTTAATTTAAAAGGACAGCGACTTTCATCTGCTTACTGGAGCATGAGATGTCGTAACTGACTGTGAAAGAAGAAAGAAGCCATGTAAATATTAATAAGTTTTATATCCTATTCTAGTACTATATTTGTCTGAAATTACACGGTGACAGATTTGATGTTCAGAAGAGAGATCAACTGACACTGAAACTGTGTTTAATCTAATGCAAATGGTGTTGTGCAATATTCTTCAATGAAATTAAAAATTCTGTACCCATTGTATAGTCCAAAATGATATTTTTTCTTAACGTAAATGATATTTTGGAATATTGTTTCCTAATTTCCACTCTTAATTCTAATCTATTTAGTCCATGATTAGATTCAGTTGTGAATGAAAATTTTATTCTTTTACCAAACCCATTCTTTTATGAAAGTTTTATAATGTGTCTTTAATACTCAAATACAATTGTAAAGCGTACTTTGAACAGTGGAACAAAAGTAATATGACCCAAAATACTCAAGTTGGTTTAATATAAAATCAACTCAAACAGTTTCTATAGGAAACAAATTGAAACTAACTCTATACAAGTATGAGAAAAACGTTTATTGTTAGGCAGAAATGACATCAAAGTATTATAATTTCTTGTTCAATTGAGTCGCCAACCTTTGTTGTCGTTTTTTGTCTTTATTAAGTTTATTTTCAATACAAACCAAGAAAACTATATATTTTTTAATGAAATTGTTCATTATTTTATATCACAATGTCAAGGTTCAGGCACACTGACATTAAACCTGGTGGGTACCACAGAAACACAGGTTAGTGAAATGTTAAATCATGAATAAATTGAAGTTAGGGGGAGGATTAGCATAAGAGAATAAATAAACAAAATCTTTATACACTAGAATAGTGTCTGCTTATGTCCTTTAATTATTAACTGACAGGCTAATAAACTAAAGAGAATTTCAAAACACGTCTGTACAAGAAAAATGATAGTTAAGAATAACGTAATACCGCACCTTCAAGTCAGATAAATGGGTCCTAGTGCGGTTTCCCATAATCTATGAATTAGCTACGTCAACATCTATTCAAAACAACATATTCAAGGAAGAAAACTCCCAACTTGTACAAGTGAGTGTCACCACTTGAGATAGCTTGCCCTCCTCCAAGGAGTGGATACAGACATAGGGCCAAAGTGATACAAGCTTCTATGAAATAGACGTTGCAATAAGTGATTTTTACCTAAGCAAATGGATTAGTACATGTTTACGACCTTTCGACATCCGGTTTACAAGAATGTAATTAAAAACGTGCAGAAGACTTACCTGAATAAACCTTACTATTACAAATTAGTTATGGAAGGGTGAAATTATTAGCTGCTACAACTGCTACAAGGACTAAATTTGTCAACAATGCATACTAATTAATATACTGTTCTAAAAATACCATTTTAATGACACACAATTCTGTAGAAATTAAATTTTAGCACGTGTATATTAAAAAAAAATACAAATGATGAAAAGATGTAACTTCTAACTGGCTAGGAAGATAGTGATTTTCTAGTAACTAGTATATGTTTTTTAAGACAGTTGCATTGATTCAATCTTTTATCTTATTTTCACACCCATTACCGTAATAAGTTATAGTCGTGGCTAGTGCTTATTGCATGTATAAGTAAATATATTTGTATATATAAATATTATAACAACCAAAATTTGAGAAAAGAAAAACAGGAAAGATCGTGAAGTTCACTCTCTCTCTCCACTTATATCTATGAAGCTGATCGGCTGATAAGAAATCAAATATTCCATTATCGCTCCACCCCTCGGTGGCTCATTGGTAACATTTTGGATTTATAATTCTAAAAATTGGAGTTTCGACACCCGCGGTGTCCACAGCACAGGTAGCCCATTGTGTAAGTTATGCTTAGTAACAAACAAACAAAAAATATCAAATTTTCAATTAAAAGTAATTTGATGGTCTACAAAATGTCTAATCACACTACCTTTGAAAAATCAAGTAAGTGCTTTAAAGAGAAAAATGCGTTATTGATAAAAGATATCTGTACTATTATTAGTACTGCTTATAAAGAAAAATGAGGGTTAATTTAAATTGGTTTGTTTTAACACACACATAAACTTTGTACTTTGAAGTGTCGTGATATGATACTATATTTTGTGATGCAAGTGAAAATGAACAATGTGACTGTTATACAATTTTAAAAAGAAATTCGCGTTGAAAGATTTATAAAGCATTAAGGAACTTTTAGATTAAGGAAGAATCTTAATAAATCACAGGTAATAAGTCCTATAATGTGCCGTTCAAATGTTCTAAATATCTCTATTGTTGAAATCAGTTGAATTACCACCGAAACTAGATTCATTTGTTATCATTATGAGCCAGAAAAAATTATAAATCAGTATTAATTGTTCCTTATCACTTGAAAGTTTCTCAACTAGTGTTTTGATTTGTGTAAGGATTTTGACGAGACATTTTATTTTCTATGTGTATGTTCGTTGTTTTTTTATTTAAGCTTCGCAGTGTTAATTATTCTTTATGTATATGTTTGTTCTTTTGGTTCCTTATTTCAATTCATTCGTTTCGCTTGCTTAATATATTTGTGTATCTATTTGATTCCACTGTATATCTGAGAATTCATATTTGTAAAGTTAGTATTGAAATGCGGTTATTACATTAGGTTATTATTCGAACTGAACAATGATTAAGAGTAAATCTATCGTCAAATTTTCAGTTATTTTGTTGGCTTATACTTAAAAGTCCTCCAGTGGGTTAGTGGTAAGTATACGGAGATATAACGTTAAACTCCAGGGTTTGATTCCCCGTGTTGAACAGAGCGCAGATAGTCTATTGTGTAACTATACGTTAAAAATATTCTTCTTCCTTAGAGTATTAAAAATTGTGAAGTATAGGTGCTGTAGAATGTTGCTATATAAATCAATTTACGTTTATATATACTTGTTAGTTATGAAGATCGATAACACGTATATTATGCTATTTATATAATTAAACGAGTAACTTGTGTGCGTGGGAGCTCTATAAACTTAATTATACTATGCAGAAAGTAAACTCCGAGTGGGGAATTACGGACGACATCACTATATGTGGAAGGGAGGGGTGGATTTAGGTAGTACTCTGAATTGCATATGGAAAGGTATTTGAGGAATGGATTTTTCATCCCTCAGAGTCCCATCTCAGACAGCAGTATTCATGTGTTAAGGTTCTATGTATGAATTTCTTCATTTTTTTATAGGCACTTAGATTTCCGGCACCGTCACCCTGTTGAGTAGGGACCTGGAAGCAATATCATTGAGTTATGATTCCCAGGTTTTGTAAAGATTGCTAGATCTTGTGTCTCTTACAAGAAAAATCAATTTTGATCAGACCATTCGACTCAAAGTGTCTTGTGTCTTTTGTACAAAAGGTGTTTGTTAGGTATCACGTGTTTTAGAATAGGTTTAACCCCGCAGTCATTGAGACGCCCCGCACAGCCCTAAGACTCAACGTACCTATACGGGATTAGTCTAAGCAGGTCACTTAACTGTTTTAATTGCTTTAAATACACAGCAGTGTTTTCACATTTTATAAATTTTGTACATTCAAATATAAAGTACCACAATCGGAAAAATAGTTCTAATGTGAAGCAAGAGTTTCCCCTCAGTATATCATTAAATCATGGAATGATCTTAGGATAATTACGTCTAAAATTATTTTGTTTTTGGTTAATACCATTTCTTCTACATCAGCATGTATAAATTGAATCATGACAATTGTCGCCTTTTAGAAGCATTTGAAGTGAAATAATTTGTTTTGTTTTTTGTTGTTATTGTTTTGCCTATTCAGAATAATTTAACGTTTTAATGCAACAAACAGTTTTATTCCCCAGTTTGTCAGATGCTGCTGAAGTGTATACTTAACTTGGTTAAAGTAATTTTAAAATAAACCTTAGACTATATAGACCTTTATTTGTTCACTTTCTCTGAGCTTTCTCTTAGATATGAACTTACCTTCCGTCGAATCCGTGTTATGAAAATAATCGGTTTTATGTTCTGTTAGTCGAAAACTATTTAACTGAATCTGATGTAAGTTCTTAAGTTCTTTTCTGTGTTCATATACTCGATTATTTAGAGTTTGCCCTGTTCCGCGTACCTTAGACAGACATTCTATGCAATGAAATTGTACAGAGGTTAAGTTTGTTATATTAAAAATATTTTGAAGGTTTGTTTGTAATTAAGCACAAAGCTACACAATGGTCTATCTGTGCTCTGCCCACTACGGGTATCGAAACCCGGATTCTAGCTTTGTAAGTCCACAGACATGCCGCTGTGCAACTGGGGGGGGGGAGGCAGATTTTGAAGACTCACACGTTGTTACACTCTATATCACCACGATCGATCATGCTTATCCAATGGCCGTACATTTTGACAATAGTCCTGCAACGTGGTTTTAAATGAAAAAGGGCCAACATAAGATTATCACATCCAAAACACACCTCATCTTCTTGCGTGTTATCTATAATCCGTCTAGCGCACGAGGACGATGGTTCCCAGGGCTTATTTCAACGGTCTGATCATACAGAAATCCATAGGCGCTTCACCCAGCAACTTGACCAGTATGTGTTCGTATGGAATGGCGTGGATACCTATTTCCTTTTCCAGCTGCTTGAAATCCGTGACCGTTGGGTTGAATAAATACATCATAGTAAAAAACTTATATAAACCTGTTTTGTGTCGCTTTGTCAGACAGATATCCTTTTAGAATATATTGCATGTGGTCGGCTTTTGCTACTGATCTTCGTGTTTGTAAATTCTCACCTGTTACAAGAAGTCACATTTTATTATAATGGCTAGGGTATGACTTCTACCAGGTCTCTTTCTGGATGGTCCTGGGGATCCAAGTTTGGTCCAAATTCCTTTGTTATCCATTTTTTAAGCTTTCCACTTGTGATTAGATATCTCTGGTCACCTTCTACACAGAATTAACTTTATTAATGTATACGAACATTTTAAGTTCTAGTTTTGATATGAGAGAATTAAAGGCAATGAGTAATTTGAAATATTTGAATAATATATCAAAAACATGTCAAAATATCTTTTTTACCCTATCAGTTTCAATTTTCCTAATTTTGTTTGGGTGTGGGGCATGAGAGGGTGCTATATTTATCTAGTAAAGACACTTTTGTTCATGCTACCTCTCCCTTTTTCTCCTCACAGCGATTTTTAAGTATTTTCCATTCTCAAAGCTTATACATAATACCAGCTTTTATTTAAAGCTCCTGTAAATTGTTTGTTTCGGTGACCAAACACTTCACTTCCATTAGGGTTAGCGATAACAGTTCAATTCACACGCACATCTGTCTACAGAACAATACAACGTTAGCTAAGAGGATAACCACTGCTATATGATAAACACAATTTTGAAACTTTAAGTGCATTTGATTGATGCCCTTGATTGATAATGGGAATATTTTAGAAGATTAAAGCAAACCCGCCCCTTATGACTGAAACAATTTGTTTTTCAAACTCCAAATAACATATCACTGTTACAGCTGTCTGCCTGATTGTATAATTAAATCATAAATTAATTCTGCGCTTCCATTTACATTTTTGTCGAAAAGTAAAAATTAATTATTGTTCGTGAACTTAAAGAGTATGGACCAATGAGATTTATGCATAAATACCCTTCCATAACAATATAATATATAAGTTTTGTTACAGTTCATACTGCACATGAATACTCCAACAGACACGATTTTATGTGCCATACGATAAAATGTTTCTCTTGTGAAACTGTGAAACGTTTTTCTAGTCGGGTGTTGTCTCTTCTGGCATCCATTAGGGGTTTATCTCTTGTAAGCTAACTGAAAAGGCAACTTTTCACATGATGGTTAGTGTGAAGTTGAATGAATATCAAGAACTAATAAATTGATGTTTAGATACTTGGCACAAATAGTTACAACTAACATTTCGTTAGTACTACATATATTTAGCCAACCAATAGTTACAACTAACTTTTCGTTAGTACTACATATATTTATCCAACCAATAGTTACAACTAACATTTCGTTAGTACTACATATATTTACCAAACTAATAGTTACAACTAACATTTCGTTAGTACTACATATATTTATCCAACCAATAGTTACAACTAACTTTTCGTTAGTACTGCATATATTTATCCAACCATATATCTATGTGAGTAGTGTACCAGAATGTTCTGTGACATACTTGTTGGCGCTTTGAACTTGGAATAACCTGCAGTTTCTATAGACCAACGTAAACGTAGGATGCTATACAGCTCCTTAACCATATAAGTATCTTGTGGAAGATCTATGAAATAGGGTAGGTGTACTTGGGTTTCATTAACCTTAGTTACACCCTGCAACTACCTACACTAACCAAACTTTTCGAGCATGTGCAATTATTTTCTATATACAAAATCCAGCTGCAGCTACGGAAGCTGAGGAATGGTGTCATTAAAATGAAACTAATCTATCTAAGCAATATTTATATCGTATTTTATGGTCAATTTCTAGAAAACTATCATATGTACAACATTTATTTTAAAAACTGCCTATTTTTAAATCGGCTAGTATGACCTAATACAAAAGACATTTAAGATAAATCGAATTTGTGTGAGATACTAAGGCTCAAGGAATGGGTAATTTTGTAAAGAGTAACACTCAAACAACTGACTTGTGATAAGCAGTTATTAAATATTATAATTTTCTATAGTTCATTAATTTTATAAATCTAATATCTCTTTTTGAACCAAAAGGTCTGTTATACGTCATTTAATTGCTCTTGTTTAGTTTTGCATAATGTTTGTTTTATTTTTTTTCACTTAAAGCCAACAACTCAGTTCAAATTATTTCAATTTTGCTTTTCTGTTTGATTTTTAAAGGAATCGAGTCCCGAATTTTAGCGTTATAAGTCTATAAACTTATCGCTCGTCCATTAGGAGCGTTTGCTTGTTACCAATACAGTTGTTTGTGTTTTTTGCATTTCATAACAAAGTCTAGTGTCTTTCATTTCCCCAGCCATGACAAGTTACGCCACATTTAATCTATTCCACAGCTAAATTCTGACTCTCCTTTATTATTGTTGTAATCAGTTGACTGTGTATGTTTTGTATTCCAAGCCCCGGAATACCAAACGCTCAAGAAAATTACATGAAGTGAAAATATTGAAGCTCATGTACTAAATTTACACAGATATTGATTATTTAAGAAATGTTTACGTAATATAAATTTTCAACGAACATACTTCATAATTAGAAAACCCGCTAACGCTAATACTACTAAAAAAAAGAACTGTCACCCTCATTTTTAAAATCAAAACTAATATACAAGAAAGATTCATGACATTAAGTATAAAATCATACAAACAAAAGTCCTTGTGATCCGTTCTAACTGAAGAATTCTGGTTCATCCCCAAAAATTTCTTGCGCAGTTATGTGTGGCAAACAGAAGATATATCAAAGAAGCCATTTTTTACAACTCTCGTCAGAAATCCTTAAAGGACTAAAAACAGACAAATTAAAAGATCTGCAATGAAATATAATTTTCATTACATTAGTTAGGCGTAAGGAACTAGTTCGTATTTTTATTACATTAGTTGGACGTAAGGAACTAATTCGTATTTTTATTACATTAGTTGGGCGTAAGGAACTACTTCGTATTTTTATTACATTAGTTGGACGTAAGAAACTAATTCGTATTTTGATTACATTAGTTAGGCGTAAGGAACTACTTCGTATTTTTATCACATTAGTTGGGCGTAATGAACTACTTCACATTTTCATTACATTAGTTAGGAACTACTTCGTATTTTCATTACATTAGTTAGGAACTACTTCATTAAACAAAAAACTCTGCATTGGTAAAGACTTGGTTTGGTTTGTTTTGAATTTCCGCGCAAAGCTAGCCATCCCTAATTTAGTAGTGGTAGACTAGAGGGAAAGCAGCTAGTCAACATCACCCACCGTCAGCTCTTGGACTACTCTTTTAACAACGAATAGTGGAATTGACCAAATCACAAGGAGCTCCTTGTTTGTATGACATCTTACATGTCTCCTCTGTATGTGTCATCACACGTTACTGAGCAGAAGACCTTTGGTATGCATTAGAATTATTCAGTTAGAACACATCAAATGGAGCTTTGTTTGCACAAATTTATACTTAATGTCATAAGTAATGTCATGGCTGAAAAGGCGAGTATGTTCGATGACGGGGATTCTAATCCGCGACCCTCGTATTGAGAGTCCAGTGCCTTATCCACCAGGCCATGTCAGGCCGAAGTCTTACAAACAAATAACATATAAAACCTGAGAATGGAAGAATGTCTTTATAGCTAAAATTAAAGGGAAACCAACTTTTGCTGCTGAGTCAAGAGTAAACAAACAAAAAACGTATTTCAGCTAATTTTAAATAATCTTGCAACTCTAGGCATCTATTCTTCGATGTGTAAATTAACAAAGTACAGGGCTTATCAAATAAAACAATTTTAATGTCGAAGTATCAATACTGTTTCAATAAAAAACATTATATGAATAACACTAAAAAGTAAAATCCTAAGAAACAAAAAAAAAGAATGTTTATATTTTACGCCACTTGATAACATAAGAACATAAAGGACAACTTTCCGGACATTTTTCTGTTTATATACTTTTGCTGGTGTTATATATGATTATAGTTAAAATAAAGTGTTGAAATATTGGTGCTTACGAACAATTGGTAAACTCAATTGTTTAGAGAAGGACTTATAAAAATAAAATACAAAATAATAATAATTAATCAAAAATATTTCGTTATCCTTATGAATTCGTTAATTTCTTTCGCGAAGATTAATAAAAAAAACATTTTTTTTTACTATGCTTCAACGTCGTCCCCCCCCCCACAATGGCACAGCGGTATGTCTGCGGACTTACAACGCTAGAATCAGGGTTTCGATACCCGTGGTGGGCAGAGCACAGATAGCCCATTGTGTAGCTTTGTGCTTAATTACAAACAAACAAACATTGCTACGTATATGAACATATAATCCTTCCTCAAAGGACTATGAAAGTTAAAATTGAAACATACAGTGAAAAGAACTACTTATACATGTTTTTATTATAGAATAAAAAATTACAAATGACTTATTGACTTCCCTTTGACTTATGTGTTTGTTTGTTATTAAGCACAAATCTACACAATGTTTTACTCACCACGGGTATCGAAAACCACAGAGCCATCGGAAGACTCTGTTTGATAATGAGAATATTTTTGCTATTGCGATTAAAGCAAAACCACCTCTGAAAATGATTACAAATTCCAAATAATAGATAGAGCTTTATGGCCGTTTAATCGTATAAATAAATCGATTATAAATCCAGTTATTTAATTACAGTATATGAGCATAAAAACGCATGGATCAATGGAATTTATACATGAATGCTCTTTCATAACAATATAATCTGTAAGTTTTGTTACAGTTCATACTGAAGGTGACTACTTCAACAGACACGATTTCACGCGTAAGAAGGTCAAATGTTTTCCCTAGTGGAACTGTTAAACGTTTTTATAGTCGGATGTTGTCTCCACTGGCCTCCATTAGGGGGGTTTCTCTTGTAACCTAGCTAGGGAGAGGTCTTTAGAAACCTCCTTCTTACACCTCTATATCTGCCCCCGCTTTTCCCCAATCATAAACTTCTTCCTATTTGCCTATGACAAAGTAAGAAAGGACTACAGAATATGTAGGAGGGGTTAGGGTTGGAATAACATAGAACTAATGCTGAATATAAACATTTATATAAATAGAGTATATCTATATAAACGGATATTGAGAGTACTATTTGTTAGTTTGTTTGTAATTACGCACAAAGCTAAACAATGGGCTATCTGTGCTCTGCCCACCACGGGTATCGAAACCCGGTTTCTAGC